AACAAAGCTCCCAAGCAGGGCGACCACACTGGCTGAACAACCACCATCACTCACTCAGAGGCACAATTAGAACCTTTTTAACTTGCAAAAAGTCCTGAAAATCACTCAAGAAAAACTCCCATCTGGAGGATATATTCAGGAGCACGCTGACAGTTACTGCTGTCTTGTAAACACATCCAGAAATGTATTATTTTAATCTTAGCACAATTACTAAATAAGAGCAATCACAGCTCCGAGGCAGCAGAACCTCCGTGGAACACAAAAATAACCATGACATATCTCTCTATATTAGTCCAGTGACATAATTTGAGAAAACCAGGTCCTAGGGGGGTGTTCAGTGCACACAAGTGCATCTGCAGGTGGTTAGAGAGCACAGTTATGGACTTCAGGCCTGCAGAGACAGCGAGTCCTTTCCATCTGACCATTCCAGCCCTGGCGAGTTCCCCCAGTGCTGGTGCTGCGGGGTGTGAGGGGCACAGGAAGCCATCCATCTGCACACAGTGCCAGGCAGGAGCTGGGCAGGAGAGGGGCCTGCCATGCCCACCCTCTGGAGCACACTGATGTGCAGCTTTGATGGGCAGCTTTGCCACTCCAGGATCTGCTTTGTCAGGATTCCACCCTCAGAGTTCAGGAGGTTTAATGGAAGGAGCAGTGTGTATGGGAATGATAAACAGCCAGAGGGGCAGAAAACAGCTCCTGATCCCACAGTCCTTCCCAATTCCAGCTGAGCAGTGGGAGAGGAAAGGGGGAAGACAGTGGCAAGAGAAAACCCACCATGTCCAAGACTACTGAACACAACCCCTGGGAATTCTTGGAACACAGGGAATTCCTTCTGCCCTACTGATCTCCAGGTCCCACACCAGGACACCCAAATCCAGCATTCCCAGTCTCCTACCACATCCTTCCTGTGCAAGTGCTGCTAAAATAATTACTCCCCAAACCTTACTTAAAATTCAGGATGTGCTCTTTACCTCAGGTACCTTTCTGGGAGGTTCTCCTGAAAATGAAAAAGAAGAGAGGGATGAAGCATCTCTGGAAGGGCAACTGGTTCACTGCCTGAGGCTCTGGGAGGTGAATTTCTATCCACCTGCCTCAGCCACCTTCTGACATTCCCTTAATCACAAATTACATGACAAAGGTAAAAAAAAAATGGTAACAATTAGTGTTGAAAGGCACTGGTTTTCCTAACAATAAATTGACTTCTAGGGACAGAAAAAGCAAACCAATGTTTTAAGAGCTCTACATTTCATATTGATTTTGCTACAGATGGTTTTTCCCCTTCACTTTGCTTATACCATTGAAGTGTTGACTCTGGAAATCTGCACCAGTGTAAGGCTTTAAAAAAATTTACACTACAAGAGAGACTAATAATACAAAAGCAGACTATTACTGCCACTGTGAGGTGGAGTTCCCAGGATGTGTGAGAGCATGTCACACACCCTGCCATGCTCCTGCTCCTGAAGGTGTCTGTGAAGGAAAGCCAATGAAAAGAAAACTAAAACATGTGCCTTTGTGGAACCAGCTTAATCCCAAATGCATCTCCTGAGTCATCATTCAGGTGTGTCCTGCCAGGAACAGCCTTTCCAGGGAAGGAGCAAAGGAGTTGTCACCACAGCAGTGCCAGCCTGGGGTGCTGAGGCCCCACACCAGGAGGGGCAGGACAGGTCCCTGTGCCACACAGAGGGACAGGACACAGGGACACAACCCCAGTCAGCCCCAGCAATCCCTCAGCAGTGCCCTGCCCTGCAGACCAGTTCCACCCCAGCCAGCTCCCAGTAAGCAGGAGGCTGCAGGATGAGTAAATCCCTGGGCAGGACACATCCCCACCCCCCCACATCCCCTCCCATCCTCCCCTTCCCTGCTGCAATTCCTCCTCTCCCTGGGTTGTTGATTCCCTGAGCTGCTGCCCTGGCACACAACCCTGCTGGGCTCAGGAGCTGCCTGGCATCGACTGTGCCTCCAGCCCTGACTGCTGGAACTGCTTCAACAGCTCTCCCAGCTCTTGGCCTCGGATAAAGATCCCCACACAGCCAGGGAGAATTTCAAAGAGTTTTGTTGTCAAAACCAATTACACCAGGAGTGCAAAGGCTGAGTTTCATCGCTGCAGTCCAGGTGAACCAAGGCAGTGGCTGGGCAGGAGGAGCAGCTGGGACACCCTGTCCTGTCCTCAGCTCAAACACCCCCTGAGCCTTCAGCTGGTGATGATTCTGAGCACTGGGAGCTCAAAGTGGGACAGTGACACCCCTCCTTCACAGGGACTCCTCTGTGTAGTTCATAGAATGGTCTGGGTTGGAAGTCGATCTTATTCCACCCCCTGCCATGGGCAGGGACACCTTCCACCAGCCCAGAGTGCTCCAAGCCCCGTCCAACCTGGCCTTGGACACTCCCAGGGATCCAGGGGCAGCCACAGCTTCTCTGGGCACCCTGTGCCAGGGCCTGCCCACCCTCCCAGGGAAGAATTCCTTCCCAATATCCCATCTTCTTCTGCTTTATGCCTTTTAGTGGCTTCCTACAGAATCCACACGAAAGGAAGGATCTTTACGAGCAAAGACATGGCACAATTCCAGTCCCCAAAGGTCTTTCCAGCATTTTGGGATATACACAGTGTGCAGGAAAACACAAAAAACCCCCCCCGACACACAACCCCCCAAACCTGGACAATCCCCAGGGATGGAACAGGAGCTCTGTGACCACTGCAGCAGAGCCAAGAAACTCCAAAGAGCAGTGAAAGGTGGGAGGGACAACCATATTCCACATTCCCTAGGAATCCACTTGCTGCATCACCAGATTAAGCCTATAAACCACAACTGACCTATAAATCCTAACCAACCATGTGTTCTCTCAGTTTTTAGATACTGGACAAAGAAACTGGTTAAAAAGGTCTGGAATCACCTTTTTCCCTGTGCCACCTCCCACACACCTCATGTTTTATCTCCATCCTGTAGCACAAACTCTGGTATATCTGGCCTTCCTCACACCTTCCTGCCTCCCTCCACCTGCTGCAAATGCTGCTTCTCAATTTATTTGCCTTCTACGAATTACCTGCAGCACATTTTGAGTTCTTTTCTTGTTGTTGGAGCTGTTATTCTCTACCCTGAACAAGGCAGGTGTTTTCAATATGCTTTCTACCAAACAACATTATGCTTGTATTTATTGATAAAATAAAATAAATCCACACAACGAAACCCACAGTGTTATATAAAACACCATTCCTCAGGTTAAAAGATTGTGCTGCATGAGATTTTCAGCAGGTGCAATTTCCATTTCAGCCTAGGCCTGTGTGGCTAAGCTAAAGCACAATATTTTCCAGAAGAAATACCTGACAGGAAATCACTAACAATCACCAAAAAGTACAACCCCCACTCCAAAAGGGGAGATGGAAGAGAGAGCAAAGCACAGAAGCTATTGCAGCTCCATCTCCTGCAGGGCAAAGGCAAAATGGGGGTTTGGCACCATGAGCTGGCCCACCAGCTCTGGGCAGGGGGCACAGCACAGCGAGGGGCTGCTGCCTTTGGCCTGTGCCCTCCTCTGTGCTCTGTGTGAAACCAGATTAATCATCATCTCCTCTCATCTCATCTTTTTACCACGAGAATTTGGGCACGAATCTGGTGCTTTCCAAGTCCAGGGTAATTCAGCTCTGCCAGCACGAGGAAACCTGAAGCTTTTGCTCCAAACAGCTTTGAATGCTGGCGGCAGCCTTTGGAATTCTTTGTGTTTTCTTATCCCCTGCTTACATCTCTGCAGACAACAGGTTAAAGCCCTTCCTCTGGGTCACCTGCAGGCCCCACTCGCAGGCAGGGAGCCCAAAAGCTGCTCCACGCTCCCTGTGCCAGACCCAGGTCACAAACAGACTCCACTGTGGTTAAAGCTGTTTCTGCTGCTTCTTATCTCTCCCTTGGCAGGGAGAGCAGAGCTATTTGAAGTGTTTGTAAGCCTTGGCAGACCTGCTTTCCATCTGAAATGAATTCCCTTTGGGGATGTGATGGCTGCATGGAAAGCCCATTGCAGAGGTGAGAGGAGACACAGAAAACTCTGTAACCCCTGTCTCCTCCTGGGTGAGCCTGGGTGATGATCCCCTCCTCCAGCAGAATTCCTCCTGAGTGATCTCCTTTTCCAAAGAGGGACAAAACTGAGGCCAAAACAACCACAAATCTGTACAGCCAATCTCCCAAACTGGAGAGAACAAAGCACTGGTGCAGCACCTTCCTACGGAAGAGGCCTGGAGCCACAGCACAGACCTGCCTGGGTGACACCACTGCCTTCCTGCAGCTTCACCTCCACAGCCTGGGAGTTTAACAACTGCAAATGTGGCAATTCTACCCCAGCTCAAAGTGAGACTGGCACCTGAAATGTGCTCCCTCATTCAAGGGACACAATAATTCCCTCCACAGTGCTGAGCTTGCCCGAGTTCTGCGTTCAAGAACAAACGCTGAGTCAAAATAGAGGTAAAAAAAGGAAAAAGAAGCAAAGCTCTTTCCTGCACAGGCAAGGGTGGGTTCAGGGACTGGGGATCACAGACAGTGTGCTACGACATCCATGCACAGCCTGTGCTGTAAATGTGCCCTGGGGCTGCTGTTTGTGACCCAGAGCACTCAGCAGGCTGTGCTCTCCCTCAGTGTCCAACTCCAGAGGCACAGGAGTCTACTGAGTATTTCTGAGAGTTTTCTTGTTTACATCTGGTATTCAAAACGATTTAGTTAGGAGATGCCTCTTTCTGGATAATATGACAGCTAATTCCCACTTATCCTACTGAAAGGATACAATTGAAATGGATGCAACAATAAAACTAATGGCTAATGTGATTGTTATTGATCATTTGCCAGCTTATAAATAAATGGCCCACCAGCTAAATGGGGAAGGAAAACAGTGCCATATATTGCCTGTGTCTCGGGACTGAGCAGACTGCAGAGCTCATCTGGAAATCCACGTAAAGCTGAACATCAGCACGTCCTCAGAACCACAGTGAGTCCCGAACATCAGGCCTGTTCACTCTCACCTACCTTTTCGGCTGACTGGGCAGTGCCAAAAAATATTGGAATGAAGGCAAGCCATACTATACAGGTAGTGTACATAGTGAATCCAATGGGTTTGGCTTCATTAAAATTCTCTGGGACACCCCGAGTCTTGATGGCATACACAGTGCACGTCACCATTAGCAGAATGCTATAACCCAAGGAACATATGATTTGTAGATCCGTAATGTCACATTTGAGAACTCCTCTGGCTTGATCAGGGTTCATAGTTTTCTGCTCATCATAATCTATGATGATGTTGGGCGGGTCGACTGCAAACCAAATGAAGACCCCCAGGAGCTGCACCGATATCAGGCTGGAGGTGATGGCCAGCTGGGACGTGGGGCTGATCAGCCTGGGCGCGGTCACCGACTTCTTGCCCTGCTCGAAGATGCGGTAGATGCGGTTGGTTTTGGTCAGCAGGGCCGCGTAGCTGATGCACATGCCCAGGCCCAGGAAGATCCTGCGGAAGGAGCAGACGGCCACGTCCGGCTTGGCGATCATCAGGAAGGTGATGATGTAGCACAGGAAGATGCCGGTCAGCAGGACGTAGCTGAGCTCCCGGCCCGAGGCGCGCACGATGGGCGTGTCGTTGTACCTGATGAAGGTGGCCATGACGAAGATGGTGGCGATGATCCCCAGCATGGCCAGGAAGACGGGGATGACGGCCCAGGGCGAGTGCCACTCCAGCTTGATGATGGGGATGGAGCGGCAGCCGGTGCGGTTCTCGTTGGGCCGCTCGTTGTAGGAGCAGAGCAGGCAGGTGACCTCGTCCGCCTGGTACTGGTACCCGTCGCACAGCTCGCAGTGCCAGCAGCACGGCATCCCCTTCACCATCTTCTTCCTCTCGCCGGGCTTGCAGGGCAGGCTGCACACCGAGGGCGGCACCTCCCGCACGCCCCCGCCCCACTGCATCTCCTCGATCTGCACAGGGAACACAAACACACCCTCAGTCAGCTGGCACTGCCACAAACCCCGGGGGAACCGAAGGGGGAGGACTGAGGGGGAACCCCGATGGGAAAAACCCAACTGGGGAAACTCTTTAGGCTGCAGCCGCCTGGAAACGCTCCAGGAACTGCACACACAGTGTCTTTGCAGGGCACTCTGATGAACAACTGTGTTTGCTGCCTCCATTCCTCATGTGTATTAGTGGTTAGTTCTGCTGGAATGACACACAACAGCAGATAAAACTGGAGAGTGAAAGCCTCTTGTTTATGACAACTAATAAGAACGCTGCAGTGCTTGAGGGAAGGCAGGACTCACATTCACAAGTGCTTTTCACAAAACCTGTGACTTCTTCCTGAGACCAAAACAGAGATCTCCTTCCTGGAACTGTTGCTGGCCAGGTGAATGTTTTAAATGAGGTGGAAATGTGTTTTATACAGGGCATGGGATCAGCGAGAACGTGGCAAGGTCTGCAGTGTGAGCCAGGTAAGAAATATGAAGGACAGAGAAAATGGTCACCAATGAAAACTGCAATAATTAGATAATATTTCATTTCAAAGTCACATTCAGCTTTTGAAATACCACACATGCTTCTGGGAATGCAAATGATAAATGATTACATTAAATGTAGGGAAAGTCTCACTTGTTCTGCAGCCTCGAGAATCCTGAACTCCAAAGTATGTGACAAAGGCTCCCAAGTACTGTGGAAAATTAGACTCACAAATCATTTCAAATTACACCTGACTAAAGCCACTCACCAGTTTCCAGGAACAAGGGGGGTTCAGCACTGGAGCCCCCATGAAACAGTCCAGACTGGAACCACTGGGAAGGTCCTGGCATTCCCAGCACCAGCTACCAACTCAGCTGCCCAGCAGGATATCAGTGGCTCTACCAGCTGCTCTGAGTGTGAGTCTTTTCCAAACATAAAACCTGATCCCCTGGGACAGATGTGAGTAAGTGTTATTAAAAACAAAATTTCAGCTATTTCTCTTCAGGTCACTTAAATGCTGACAAGCTCCACTATTTTCCCTATAGGTAAAGAATTCTAAGATGTGTTTCTTGAATCAGCTGCCTTGATTATTCATGTCCACAGGAAGACTGGGGGTTGCAAGAATTAAATTGAAGGATTAAGTTGCACTTTCCTAATTTAATTCAAAATAGATCCTGTATCCTCTTAATTTCATACATGTGAAAAAACCAAACCCCGAAGTCACACAATGCTCAAACCCTGCAGCACCAGGAGCCTCTCTGTGAACACTGTAAAATAATCCCTCCATAACAGATATTCCAGAGCTCTGCCACTGCCTGGGAAACTTCATTAACCTTCAATACTGTGGAAAAGACAAAGATCCATGAACCCTTCCTTCATGCTGTGCTGGGCTGAAGGTGTGCAGCCTGCAGACGGCAAACCATAAAGGGGAATACAACGACTCATTTAACTGCACTGGTGAATTGTAGTTTGGTCCTCCTGGAAGTGAAGGAGCCAGGAATTCCATCTCCACGCCCAGCTCCAGCACTGCTCCAGTGCAGTGGGAACAGCCCCCACAGAGCTGCAGCTGAGCTCCTGGGCTGTGGGAATGCCCTGTAGGAGAGCTGGAGTGAACTGGCACATGTCCACATCACCTGCTCCCTGCAGAGGCACAGAGGGTGCCGGTGCAAAGAGACCCAAAGAGACGGTGAGGAAGGAGAGCCAGGGCTGAGATTTCTGACCCCTAAAGCAGGTGTGAAAAGTTCATGGCAGTTCCTTAAGAAACCAGCTGTTTGACCCTCTGCTGCTCCCTTCGCTCTTCTCAGTCCCTGATTTGTATTTTGCCCTTTTCCAAGGTGGACTGAGGCAGGGGAACTACAACTTACCTGGGTGTTTATACCAAGAGAGTGAGTCACTGATCCAGTCCAGAGCCTCCATTTTCAATCATAACTATTAACCACAGACGTTATTTGATGCCCTTTTCCAGCAGACATCGATACGAAATGAGAACATCATCCCAACTGCTCAGATTTTGACCCAGTCTGCAGCAATGAAATGATTTTCACAATTTTCCACATGCTAATATCTTCAGAACCGCAGACTGATTAATGTGTTATCATATCCCTGCTTCCCCTCACAGCTACAAAAGGATGAATTTCCATATTCTCAGACATATTCCTCGGCATTGCTGGAACCTGGGACAGCCTGAAGGGACTTTATTCTGCACAGGTACCGTGGGTATGGAGATAAATAGAAGATCAGGTAAAACTGTGGAAAGTCCTTTTTCTGGCCTCCTGGAGAGACACCATGGGAACTCATCACTGGCCTCGGAATGATTTGCAGAGTTCTGCTGTTTCTGGTGAGAAAAGTAATGTAATGCTGCCAAAGGCCTGTGAGGAAATGTGCTGGGCACCAGCACTTGCACAGGAGGTGAGAACCTCAGTCAAACCAGAGACACTTTCCCCACTCAGAAAAGTGTAATTTTGAAAGAAATTTTGTCCTTAAGTGCCACATCTATCTACACATCTTTTAAATACCTCCAGGGACAATCAGAAAATGTTAATCACAGTCTACAAAGCAGGAATTTCATCAAGCATGAGAAGGTACTCTTGCAATTAATAAAAAAATTGGGGGTTTTATGCAGAAGCTTCCATTTCAGTCCTACATCAAACTGGCACACAGAGGATAAGGGAATTTATTTTTCCCAAGCCAACACCACTTCCAGAGGCAGCCAGACCTCCTGTACTCACAGCGAGCCAACAATTCCACATCTTGAGCTTAGCACTTGACCTGGTCAGTGCTGAGGGCCACAAGGAGCTCCTCTCCATGGCAATTCTGCAGGATTTGGGAAGGCTGTAAAACCTGAACTGCACCAGATGCTGTGGAGATGTGTCTAATGTCTTGGAAAATCACATATTTTCCCATCACCTGCTTATCGACACGTCAAGTGGCACATCTTCAACAGCATCATGAGCAGGCTATGACAGTTCATGCACTGCTGGATTGATCTGATAAATGGCAAAAACCCCTCTAAACGACCTTGTAGGACATTGAACACAGCTGCTGAGAACAGAGCCTGGGAGCTGGCTGTGCCCCAGGGATCCAGCAGGGCATGCGGGGCAATGGTGCACCATGATCGGCCCTGCCAGCACAGCAGGGAGGAGAAAACCCCAAACCAGAGCCAGCAAAGAAGCAAAAAAACCCAAAGAAAAGCAAAAGCTCCCTCCCCCACCATGGGGTAATGCAGCAGCACCTGGGGCAAGGGTTCACTCTCTCTCTTCCCCAAGCTCTCCCAGCTCCTACAAATGGCCCAGTTCCTAAACGCCTCCAGCCAGAGGGATGGGATCCATTTCCAATATAAATTCTCATTATGTTCTCTACAGAACAAACATTAACCAGAAATGCTTAGTCTGTCTCATAAGGCCTAATGTAATTGTTCATTTTAATGAACAAAGTAACTCAATAGAAGTGCATAATTCAAACATCGCTGCTTTTCTTCCCAGCGCCACAAACATTCCCGTAATAAGCCATTTGTTCTGAACTTAATTGTTTCATGCAATGTTTGATTAAAATAAAAATCAGTACAAAAATAATTACATTAGTGGTAATTAACCTACTTGGGGAAGAAAATAGCCACGTTCCCTGATATGACTTCCATAACGACGGTGCCATTAATTTCACGGACACATCGGGACACGAGGCAGAGGATTGGGCTGGGATTTATTGCCACCCTCCAGACTCCAGAAACTAACTCAGCAGTTCAAACATTTGTGTACATTCCCCTTTGCAGGCAGCAATATTTGCATGACTTAGCTCTTAGGCTCAGCTATTAATGTCTTGTAATTAGTTTTTAAATCCAGGGGTTTACCATGATAACGGTTTTAAGCTAAGAATATGTCAATAACACATCGTCAGCAGAGCCTTCTGCAAAATATCAACTGAAATCCCTTCAGGAGATAACGGTGATAAACCAGAGAGGATGCAGAGCTGCTCCAGTGGCTGCCCCAGACTGTGGGAATGAGGCGTTTCCCCTTATGTTGTAACTCATTTCATCTCCCTGCCTGCAGGATTGACAGGAAGCCCTGAGACAGCTCAGAGCCTGCAGGGTGAGAGAGGCAAAACCCCCCCACACTTCTGGCTAAACCTGATCCACAGCTGCTGCCAGAGCACCTGTGCTGGGACAGGGATGCTGTGGCATACCCTGGGCTCCCCTACTCCTCACAGAGCCCCCCAGTGCCTCCCTGAGCTCTGCAGCTCACCCTGCTCACCACAGCTATTTTAACTCCCTGCTCACCACAGCTATTTTAACTCCCTGCTCACCACAGCTATTTTAACTCCCTGCTTCCAGTGCTGTTCCACGGGAACACCTCACTGGTGAGATGGAGCATCAGCCCAGCTCTGCCTCCCGACACCAGAGATGAGGCCTCTCCAGCATATCTTCCTTATAAACAGAAGTTAAACATCCTTACATATATTTTGTCCTGGTTTCTCCTGCTGCTGCCTGTCTACTTTCTGTCCTCATGGCACAGCAGCCCTAAACACACACACCAAACTAGCAAATTGCAACTTTCCAGTTGAAAATAATGGAAACTCGTCACTTCTCAAAGGCTCCCAGCACAAACCCTGCAATTTTTCATTGTCAGACAAATTAGAAACATTGTCAAAAACTGGTGACAACTTTCCCATAATGCCAGACCCTTGTCTTCCCACCTGCTGATTCAGACTTTGGTTAATGAGGAAAATGCCCCCAGGATCAGTCTCACCCTGCACAGCTCCAGTCCCTGCTCTCGTTAGCGCTGTGAGGGCTCCTGGAGCCGTGGGCAGGGATCCCACAGCCAGTGCTGCAGGAACCCGGGCACAAAACGACTCTCCTGAGGGCTTTTGGGAGATGTGGGACCTGCTCCAACATTTACTCCCATGTGAGGAGCATGGGGAGAATCTGAGGATCCCTCAGCTGCTCCTGGTGCTGCAGCCCCTTCCCCAGCTCCATTCCCCTCTCTGGACATGC